CAGAGCCCTGAGCTGGGAGGAAAAGTGCTGGCTGCTTGCCCAGAGGGCTGCAAATACCCTGTGATACAGGAACGTGCCACTTGCTGGCCTGTGCCCAGGGAGAGAGCAAGGAAGAGTCCCCCTGTCGTCCTCCCCAGGAGGTCTGTGCCTGCCGCAGGCGAAGGGGCGTTGATTAGCGTAGTGCTCAAGAGACCAGGACTGAATTCCTTGGCGTGCCACACGCTTCCCGCGCGGCCTTGGAGGTGTCGCTGACTTCCTCTGCGTTTGCCCCCCGCCCCGCACCAGTGCAGCAGCTAGTAGCTGCAAGGAGCCTGTAAGGGCTATATCGGGTGGAGGGTGTGAGTTACCGCAGACTTCTCTGTTTCTGCTCTGTTAGGATACATGCGCTCTCCTGCAGCTCAGGTGATGTTCAGCTTGGATCTGGCCACCTGATGTTTAAAACAGCAGCAGGTGCCTCGCTTCCCCTCTGGTCTTGTACTTTGCTGTCTCACCGTTATTTTAGTATCTTGAAATTCTGGAGAAACAAATGCTTTTGTCATGCTGAAATATCAGTGTTCTGCGTCTGCCGACTGTAGCAGATTGCCACAGATTATAGGCACTAGGGAGGGCAAACGTTATCAGGATTTTCTTGCTGGATCTTTGAGGAAAGTGTCTTATTTTGTGTCCCTTCTCAACCTGATTTGCTCTATTGCACTCTCCCTCGGTGTGATGGGGAGAGTAGGAACTGCAGTGAATGGCAGGGCTGAATGGGACTGGGGAGGGATTGGTACCAGGCAAACACTCAGGAATTTAAGGCAATGACTTTCAGGTGTTGCAAGGACAGCCTGAATATTTGGTTAAGAGTTAAAGGCACTGACTAGATAGAAAGCTTGTTTGTGAGGGATAAAGTTGAAATCCCCTTCAGCAGGGGGGAACGGATGGGCAGCAAAAGCAGTGGGAGCGGGTGCTTCAGTGGATCCTCTCATCTCTCTGCACTGCAGCGCTTGCTCTTCTATTGCTGTTCTCCAGGCTTCCCCTCACCTGACTCCTCACTGTCCTGCCTGGATCAAGTTTTCTCATAACTGAGCCTCCGTTGAGTAAATCAACAGCACCTCAGCCCTCTTTGGCTCTAGGACCAACCCTGCTTTCTACTTGCTCTCTCACATCAGCACTGGCTTCTTGGAAGAGTACTCGAGTGGCTTGAGTTGTCCTGCCTCCTGTTGGAAACCATGAGTCTAGGCTGACGGACTACATACAGGCTGTTTGTGCTGCTGACTAACCTGCTCAGAGTCAAGTCACATCAAGTCTTACGCTGTAATAGCAATATCCTTTCTCATCACCTCCTCCACCTTCCCCCTCAAACCTTGCAGAGCTAGGGTAAGTTCTGCGTAGCATTTCCACGCCTTTTCTTGGCATGGCAGTACTTCCTCCCACACGTGGTGGCTTCAAATCTACCCCAGCAGTGTTGTGGCAAGGGTACCTCAAAGCAACGTGAATCTCCCTTGATTTCATCAGCCTTATGTCTGGGATTTCTACAGCGGTAAAAGAACGTGTGTGGCAAGCCTTGAGAATTCATTCACACAGTATCAAGCGGATAGGTTAGCACATCCTACGATGTTGTTAGCTGAGATGCTGTTAACTGAATGCGTATGCGTTTGTAGCCCACGCCAAATGTGAAATAAAAAGTATTGGTTCTGCCATTGTCAAATCAGTTGGCTTAAAGCCTCCCAGCAGTCAAAGCTGACACACTTTGCATTTACCACACACCAGGAATGCATCTGATCAGTGGCTGTTTCCTGGCTGATGCATGGTGATTTATCTGCAGTGCACTTGCAGCTTCCAAAACTTGATTGCTTGCAAATGCATCAATTGCTTATTCATTTCCATCTGTAAATCTCAAGGGTTCTTCTCATTTTGTAAAAGCTCTAGCTGCTGAATGGTTCAAACTTGAACCTTGCAATGAAGGAAAGAGTAATGAAGTATTTCTCAGCCTGTCTTCTCAAAGCATTGTTATTTGTGATCCTCTTCGCAGAGCAGCTGTGGGTTTGCCTTCTTCAGCCTCTAGTGTAGAGTGCCCAGAGCTCCAACCCTTCTCTTCATCTTTACATTTAAAGGAAATTTCTGAGTGATAGTTCTCACTAGTGAGGTTTTGCTGCTGCTTTGCAGGTGGGAGAACAGGGCCCTTAACAGTTCAAATGCAGCTGCCTCAGCTGTACGAGGACCTGAAAAAAGTGCTCCGTGTCCGCCTTGCTGGAGAAGGTGGAACACGTGAAACCTTCACAAAAGAGAAGGTGAAAGAGGCTGTTCCAGGCTGTGACGATGCAGCAGGTGATTGCAAAGACAGAGGTGATCAGTCCTGCTTGGTCAAGCCAGGAAGATTTAGGATAGATGCAGGAGAAACACTGAGTATTAGGACTGAAATATTGCCAGAAACTAACTAGGGAAATTGTGATGCTTCTTGTGTTAGAAGTTTTCAAGAACAGATGAGACAAAGAGCTGCTGGTGACAGTCTGTGTGCATTTGTGTCTGTCTCAATGCAAGGAGGTGGACTGAGTGATGTCTGGAGCTTCATTTCTACAGGTCTCTGCCCTACTTCTCCCTTTCTCCAAAAATACGAGTTGGAAGAACCTCCTCTTGCCCATCTACTCTCCTCATAGAGCTGAAAGTTCAGCTTTGTGTTCTGTCGGGTTTTTACTTTCCACAAGGAGGGGGAAATGAGAGTACCCAGGTGGCTGCTGCTCTTCATGGTGTGATGGTGGAGCACAAGTTCTTCAGCATCAATCCCACGCAGGGGTGACAGCTGGGGGACGGAGGATTGGAGGGGGATCCCAGGCCTCCCATTCTCTCCTGTGCTGCTGTCTTGTGGGAGAAAATGGGGAGAAATACAGGGTGGAGCTTTTTGGCGGGGGGGGCGGGGGTTCATCACCTCACTGATGTTTTGGGAGCAGCTCTCCAAGTTCCTTTCCACTTGCTGATCCTCAGATTCCCTCCTTATCTGCAGCTGGAGAGGATGCAGTCCTGCTATTAGCCGTCATCCAAAGAGGACCCTAGGCAGGAACAGAATGAAGCAAAGGGAAAGATAGTAATAGGGAAGGAGGATAGCAATACCTAAGAAAGAGCTGTGATGAAGAGGGTAAATTAAGAAAGGACGTCATAAAGAAGAGTCACACCACCTGATTCAAAGCCCTTTGAAACTGAGGGGAGAATTTCCACTGTATTCAGTGAGATTTGAATTGAGCTGTAGCGGAAACAATTCATTGCATCATTTGCAAACATTGCAAAATTTGGTACAGCGGAGGGGAAAACACAGTCTTTGAAACAGACGGAAGGGAGACCTCTGCAATCTGGAGAACTTTTTAAGGGTCTGGAAGAGCTCTTCTCACTTGTCTGGGTTGTCAACACGGTACCGAGCCCTGGGTCCTGCCTAGGGATATCTTCAGGGAGCTCAACGATTGTGTGGGAACCTCTGTCAAACTGTGGCAGGTAGGAGAAGAGGGTGCGGACGCTTCCCTGTTGGGAGGTTGGAGGACATGTGTGTTGCTCCCCCATCTCTTCAGCTCTGCTCGTTGTTGTGGAAAAGCAGACAAAGATTCAGGCAAGGCTGAAGAGCGAGACCTCTGTTGGTGATGCTATTTTGGGCACAGTGGCTGCTTTTGCATCCCATCGAGTGAGAACTAGCTTCCCCTTGGAGGGGAATGACGTTTGGGGCACTAGACTATCTTAGTCTCCTCTGTAAATTCCCAGGAAGTTGGCCAGGTTTGATGTAATTTTGGATGTCTTTGGGAGTCCTTTGAGTCCTGCTGTCTGAATGCACTGTGTAATTGTTGTAGCTGGCGTGCATGAGCCTGCATTGCTACAGGTGTATGCACCACCTAAGAGAGAGTCTGTGGATGGCTTCTCTGGGCCAGCGTGTTAGATTTTAAAAGCTTCTGCTCTGCTCATGTGGATCCAGCTTTCTTTCTCCTTTAGTGACTTTAACGCTGCTGCTTACACTTTTCCTTCCTAATTCCTTCTGTCAGCCAAACATATCCCTGGCTTTCCATGTATCCCCAGCTACCTTGAGGTGTGGTTGCCAGCCCTGGGAAGCGCTCCCAAAGGAAGTAGATTGGGAGCCTGAAAGGGAATGTTCGATGTACAAATCCTCTTGATTTCCGAGGGAAAGTGGATGCCAAACTGTTAAGACTCCTTCAGCCTTTCTTCTCCTATTCCCGCATCTTGCAATAACCCAGTGGATGCGCGGTGGGAGTCCAGACTTGGTTCTGTTTAACCCAGGGCTGCAGTTGCATGTGCTCCAGCAATTTGCATGACTTTTCTGTGCCTTAATTTCCCCATCTGAAGGTGGCAGAGGGGATGCTTGCCTCCTTTGACCCGTACAGCTCTAACATCTTATATAAGGTGGGGTTTGTTCTTTGGTGAGCAGCTTTTCCTTTGCTATTGCTAACAGCTTGTGTAGGCCAAGTCACCTGGAAGGTTTAAGAGCTCTGTCTGCCGGCCGCATCCTGGCAGTCCCTGGCAAATATACTCGTGCTGTGGGTCTGCTGACATAGCAGTCTGTACATAGCGTGAGTTGGTGCTCTCAGGAGGCTCTGTGTCAGAGCAGCCAGAGCAGGGGGTTGATAACAGGGTCCATTGACAGGCCTAGACAAGGGGAGGTGAGGAGTCAGGTCTCAGCTCCATGCAAGGAGTCCAGTCAGGAGCAGCAGGAGACAGGCCTGGAGACAAGTTATTTGGAGCGTAGGTCTGAGGTCCACCCTAGACAGGACTGGAGACAGATGCACCAACAACACAGCTTAGGCAAGGACTGGGCTCCTTAAATATAACTGCTGGACCAGTGGGCTAAGGATGCATGAGTGGGGGATCCCAGATCCTAGGTGAGGCTGCTTTGGGCAATTAAAGCTTATTACTATACTCAGGGCCCTGACACTGTGGAGGGAATATCGCGTGAATTGTCTGTCTTTTGTCTAATGATTGATCTGTGCTATTGAACTTGTCCCCTCCCTTTTTTTTTTTTTCCTCTCTAGCACCCCAAACCTGCCGGTCAAGATGCCAAAACCCAGCAAAGTGAACCAGGCCTTGGCAGGTAATGATTCCTCTCTGCTTTATCTGCTTTGTCCCTAGAGTTATGCAATTAAATGTTTTCCTTCTCTGTGATACTTACTTTCTATTTTTAGTTTTCAGGAAGAGTCTGAAATGTCTCTGAGGATAGAGAGGTTTTAGGCCCAAAGACTGTTCATAAAGGCCGAGAGGGGCATATTTGGGAGAGAATGGGAAGGTCAGACCTTAGCAACTGTTTTTTTCAGCTGTGCTAGTCTTGAGGCTTTATGTTCCTGTCCCATTTTGGATGCAGGTTTGATGCTGGTCAGTATCTGAGGTTGAAGGCCAATACCTTTCTAATGCAAGCACTAGGAGAACAGGACATGATCTGATGTGTAGTCAGTGTCTCTTAATAGGAGAGATAAGTGGATGGAGCTTGCTGATGGATCTGCTGAGCACATTTCTGAACCTGCGGTCTGTGGTTTAGAGCTGGGTCACAAGACATCAGAAGTTGGCTCTGAAGTGAGTGGGTGTATTTTGGGTTTGAGTATTCATCTTCTCCTGTATGTGTGGGTGAGCAAGTAGCACAGGGGAGCACGTGGATCAGGCTAAACATTAGCTGTTGACTTGCTGCTTTTGTTTCGTCAAGGAGGAAGGCTGCGTTGCAAGACAGTGTGTGGAATTTTTTAACGTGATTTTATTTCACAAGCTGAGGTGGTCCTGTTTTTCAGTCCTTTAGACTGGAAAACGGTTGTGGCACGTTGTCTTAGGAAAAAGAAGAGCCAGAAGTTGAACCAGACATTCTTTCCTGTAGCAGCAGAAATACAAGTTTCTTGTTATCATCAAAACCTGTGAATATGATCCTAAATATGGCTGAGGAGTGGGTCTAGGAAAGATGAAAGTGCCAGTTTTCAATGTGAATTTTCAGAGTAGATTTGCCTGTTAAACATGAAATGGCATTGCCTTGAAAATGACAGCTCGCACTTGCAGCTTTCAGTGAAAGCATTTCTACTTTAAGTGCCAAAAACTGTCGGTATATTTTATCTGTTTCGATTCAGCTAGCTCCAAACCAAGGGAACTCTGGTCTGGTAGTGCCTTAGGAACCACATGTTCTGCTAATAGCAAGTGTCGTCTTCATACCGAGACTGATCGTGCACTTGAAATCATATCGTGACGCAATACCTCAGTGGTAGATGCATGAAAAAGACCTGGCATACAATATTTTCTGTGGTTTTCTATGCCGACTTTGGACACCAAAGAATATCTATCGGTCATCTCCTTTCTCTCTTGTCTGTGCATGGTCTATGAGATTGTTAGCTCCTTGAACACTGTGGACTTCACTTCTGAGCTTACAGAGGCTCTTTCTTACTCTTTGAAAAAATATTTACCACCTTATTCCAGGAAAGTTGATTGTGTTCTCTCTCCTGAGCGTAGAGATTTATCCTTCCTAAGAGTGATCCACTAGTGTTGATGATCTAGTTGTCCAATGTTAGCACCATCTTGAAAATCGTGCCTTGCATGCCTCTAAAGCAGACTGGGCACTACATAAAGGCTAATACTGGATGTCCTCTAACAGATCCAGATGGTCTGATTGCCTGGTTAGCAATTCAGTCTAAAAGACTTTGTGGAAATGAGATGTCAAGTCAGGCTTAGACCTCAGCTGTAATGCTTTGAATTTGGTCCCCTGGCTAATAGCAGGAACTGTATGATTAATTAGTTAATCACATAGAGATAAATAACAGCCAAGAACCGAAGAGCCCTGCTCAATCAATCCAGCCTGTAAGAATGTTGTTAACTGTGATCATGTTCTATGTGTATAAGTCATTGGAAAAGGCAAATATGCATGGTCTGGTTTTTGCTTGCATGTTACATCTGGATGTAAAAGGCTGCAGGAGCCCTCAGTAAAATTAGACATTTACCACCATTTAATAAAATAACATGCAAAAGTTATGTTTGCAGTCATTTTTTTCTCTTGTTGGAGGCTGGGGGTGCAGCAGAGAGAGAATAATTATTCATTTTAATAATCTGTAGCTCTCTATGAGGCAGCTGGTGAGACGCATGCTGAGCTGCAGTGGAGTTCAGAGCTGCGTGCGCTAGGATGAGCGTGGTCAGTGCACAGGCACCCCCCAAGGCTAGTGTCTCCTTCAGTTCTGAATCTTCCCAGGATATAGCTTTGATGAGTGCTGCGCTGCTTTCTGCCAAATGTGACAGACCTCAGAGGTGCAAGGGAGGAGAAAAGTCTGAATGTGAGTCTGTCTGTTAAAATAAAGTAGAAGCAGAGGAAAGATCTGGACAAGTTAATTAGCAAGTGAGAGGAAAATAAATGTCTGGGAACGTTTCTGGTAAAAAGCAAGCCGTGGAGTTCTGGTAACAAGGCCAAATTTTATTGAAACTTTAATTGGCCGGGCCTTTAGGGACATCTCCTCCCCCTCTTGCTCTGCTCTGTTTCTAGGACCTCTTCTGGGAAGTGTTATTTTGTTCATATTTAAAATCCTGCAGATGGTCTCTGATTTACTTATTCTTCAGATCATTCCATAACACACAGCCTGGGCCTCTTCTGTTTCTCAGTCCCCACGGCATGACCGTTTTCTTCAGTGTGTCAGTGGAGATGGGGGAAAGGCTGGGGACCCGAAGGCCTCTGCGATAACCGTTGGGGAGAGGGGTGTTTCTGTGGTCCCCAGCATTAACTGTGGTTTTGCAGGGTCTGTCTCACAACATGCCTTGCTCTGATATCTTGTCTTGGCTGGCATCCGGCCCTTTTGGGATGGTTAAAATGCCTTACCTTGTCTTACCTATCTTTAACTATCTTTGGCTAGCTAAAAGCTAGGTGTCTAGCTTAGTGGTCATGTATGCTGCCTCCCCAGTCAGTAAAGAGAAATTGGCCTCTTCAAGCAGTAGAGCAATGTCAACCCACAGGCCACAGGTGCTTCTGCTGACTATCAGGAACGCTTTCTCAGCCGTAGAGGGAGTGCAGTCCCTGAAGTTGAGCTAGGTGACCTCCAGCCTTGCTACCAAACTGGAACTCTGCAGGATTCTGCCTCGCTTTGTTGATCCACAAAAAAAATTTTCTTTTTCTTGGAAGCTGTGTCCAAAAGTGTCACAGCCTTTGGTCTCCATCTTGAGGTGCTTCTCAGCAGCTTTTATTCCAGTTTGAAGCAGGAAAAATGAAACCCCTGAATCCTGGAAGTTGTCTCTGGAAAGGCTACAGATGCCTCTATTGGAAACAAAAGGAACTTTTTTGATGGATAAACAGGTAATCCTGCTGGTCTGAATGAAGAGATGGGTTTTGTTTGTGCGGGGAGGGTCTGAGGATCTCTTTGAGTGAGGAATTCTTAACGTTGTGAACCCCATGTGTTCTAAAAAAACAGCTCGGCATCCCAGAAATCATGAAGCGGACTCTAAAACGCCGGTTTATGCAACAAAGTTAGTTCTTTTTCCTTACCTTTTGCTATATTAACACTTCAAGGTGCATGGTTCATGGGGAAACTTGTCTTTTAAGTCTTTTTTTTCTTTCAAAATTTGGTTAGCATGGTGAAATGCCAGTATAGAGGCCGAAGTAGACAGTTGAATGACAGTTTTGGTGTTTAAGGATCAGCTGGTCTAACATCTTTTGGGAGTAATGTAGTTTATCCGGTGTGCCTGGGGGCTGGGCGGTGGACTAGGACTTCATACTTCACTCGTATGAAGTCCCTTCGAATATATTTTTTTAAGATAAGGGCTGGAAATTAGGTGTGTTTTGGGGGTTTTTTTGTTTGTTTTTTAATGAAGGCAAGTGTTTCTTGTTCATGTGATTCCTCGAGCTGGGGGCACTTTGAAACATGCCAAACTTAATGATTTTGCTAATGTATATAATCGTACAAATTAGCAGCGCTCCACTGTGTCTCCAAGACAAAGTTCTGTCGTTTCCCCAAGTTCTGTCATTTCCCCTCTACCTGCTTAAGTCCAAGACTGGAACCAAACCCGGACCAACCTGTGCAAATATACCAAAAGTCTGTGCAAGGATAAATCAGCAGCCAGAACCAGTGACTGGAGGAGTGTGTTAGACTGGATGCATGAGAAAGTGACTGACTGATGCTAATTACATTATGTAAGTGCGTTTTCCCCATGCTCAACTCCCGCAAGTTGCAGGATATTGCGAAAGTGCCTTATTTACATGGCAGGCTGAGAAAAGCTGGTAAATGTTGTCATAGCTGCAGCGAAAATAATTTTAGCCCCAAGGAGTTGGTGACGTTTTACTTCTGGCCAGGTAGATGCTTTGAGCAAGAGAAAAGAGGCAGTTTTTGTGTGTGTGTTTTATTGCACACATTCATAGAAATATATCTGATGCCAAAGCATGCTTTGAGAGCCTTTCTGTCCTTTTCCCCCTTCAGTCCTTAAAGGGAAGAAACCCAGCAGTCAATGGAAAGTTCAGTAATGTTTTTCAAACTCCTAGAGGTGGGCTAGTGAGCAGCAGTAACTTTCAGGAATGCAAGGGCATCCAAAGCAGTCTTGATCTGCACAAGCTTTTATCTTGTTGCAGCTGGGCCTGGTGTCTTCAAGCGGCAATTACCCAAGTCCAGGGCTGAATTCACTCCATTCATTGTGTGTCTCCCCAAAGGCAGAAGTGGAAAATGACCTTTTCCTGGCCAGCGTGAGATTGTCACTGGGAGAACACCTGGGGTCGGATAATCCTCCTGATCCCACGTATGACCTGTGTTTTATGTCTCTATGGAAGCATAGATATGTTTGCAGCTCATGAAATGAAAGAGAGAAAGTTCCTGGAATAAATGTTTATTTTCTTTGCGTTTACTTAAGATATTAGCAAGTAATTTTGGATATGTTATTCAAGGTATCGGTAGGGCTATATTAAAGGCTGACTGAACTAAGTTGAGGTTCTGTGGCTCGTGTTTTCACTTGGTCTAATTTTGGAGGAAACATTTTTATTTTCTGACTTTAAGAATCTGTGAATTCAGTTGTTCAGCTTCTGCTTCTGTTGATGTTTTTTTTTTTAATGGGCTCTGCATGCTACCTTAGCAAGATTGTATTGATCACATCAACAGAGAACAT